GGTTTAGGGTTTGGGGTTATAGGGTTTAGGGTTCGGGTTTAGGGTTTTAGAATTAAGGGATCTATGAGTCAGTCTATGAGTGCTTCACGGCGTCTAGCAGGCTTAGTTTCGGGGACGGTCTTGTTTTTTGGAACAGGGCTTCGGGGTACACCAGTGTATACCTCATTTTGGGTTTACTCTGGCTGGGATAAACAATGATAAACACAAATTTCTGTGACCCCTTTTTCAGTAAACCCTAAACCCTAATTCCTCAAACCCTAAAACCCTAACCCTGACACATACGAACGAATCCTGACAGGGATGTTTCAATCAACCGTCGACCCTTATCCCCAAACAGTCTAAAGCCTCAATCCTAAACAGCTCTAAGATAGATACTAATATTTAAACTATGGGGGAAGACATAGAAGCCTTTAAGAATCAGAATAAGCGTTGGGGTTCTTGTAACTAACTAACATAAGGACGAAGATGGAATCATCTTGTTTGTTCTGCGGTGTTTGCCGTTTGCATAGCACCCCTCCTGACACTCAGAAAATCACACCAAGCCGCAGCCGCTGATCCCTGTCGGCGTCATACACCATGAACAGCAGCCGGAGCTTCTGATCAGGCCTGTCGGCTCTTTGTGTGAGAGTTTAGTTTAGGGGTTACCTATAGTCTCCATTGTAGTTCCTTTTTTGGGATACCTTATAGAATCCTTAATATATATTTGGTTAAACCAAAAAAAGGAACTACAATGACTGTAGGTAGGAACCCGAAACCCTAAAAATCCTGAACTGGGGGTGGGAGGGATTTTGAAGTGTGCTATCTGCTTTTCTGCAGGCTTCGCAAAACATTTGCCCCCCCCCTCCTCGACAAAAACAAAACGCATCAAAGCTGACACCGAAGATGGGGCGGCGTAGGATTTAGAGCTCCTGAGTTTTTCTGGGCAGCTGGATTGATTCTTCGATTGAAGGCTTCCTTGTAAGCCTGGTGATATCTCGCGACCAAGTCGGAACCCTGAGCCTCACCATCATCATAAAACTCTAAGCCGAAGCGTCCACCAACATTTAGGAAGCTTGGTCCATAGTATATAATATGGGAAGCACATATTTCCCTCAC